AAGAACATTTTGGAATGGTATTACGACTGAGGATATGTATAATTTAAAACATCTTGGAACTGTGTTAGCTAGCAATAGCAGCATTGATCATGAAGTGAACCGAGCGTATCGGAATGGCAAGGGGGTATGCATACACATACGTATCGATTGGTCCTCTATGCATCTACGTATGTACGCATGGGGGTATGTATACATGTATGATGAAAGGATCGAACTTTAAGAACCGAAGGTCACCATTCTGATCACCAGCAGCCGTATTCGCAATGCTCACGCACAGTCTTAAAACAGCTGCCGTTCTGAAGCTTCATGAAGCTCGTTTATACAGTTCCTGACAACACTGTCTGCGCAGCATCCTCAAAGTGCAATGGTTCTACCGGGTGACCAGTGAGCTGATGCTGGCTACCATCGATCTGAAAAAGCTACCAGCTGAACTCAGAGACCTCTGTCTGGCTTGGTTTGATAAAACGGTCCCAAAAGGAGATCGAGAATATATGCAAAACCAAAACTTTACTTTCTTGGACAACACTCAATAGTCGCAGACGCCTGGTAGAACAATAAACAACGTACAAACCTCATTTAGACAAACCAACTTGAGGAGAGGACTATAACCTTTTCCACAACAGTGAGCTTTACTTCATTTCAATTTGAAGTACTATTCCTAACGGTCAGACAGGGCAAATCTGGGTTGCTCTGTCGTTTAATCCCTGTTTACCTCAAGTGACGAGGACGAAACAACAACTTAACTTTGAGAAAGTTGAATATGGCAAGTGCGAAGACGTCTAGGTTGATGACATGATGGACCGAAGGAGTTCGTTGGATGAAGACAAGTAAGAACCGTATGCATCTGAAGAGGCTAATGATAGTGACATATGAACTCGACTTTAATTCGTCGTTTAAAATTAATTATCTACCGTACTCAGTATAGCAATTTTCGCCAAATATAATATTTTGCAGACAGTTTGAAGTTTTGTCCTGTTTGTAAGCTGCATGCCGTTAGTGAATAAGATTCCATGAATTTAAGACCTTTGTGAGTTTGGCCTTCGTCTGATACCATAGCCAACAACGGATATATTCATTTGCGAAATGCTGTTGGAGCAAAGCAAAGAAATTGCTTCATTGTTGTTTTCTTCGGAAACCTGCAATGCGGGCTCTTGCATGTCGCCAGCCGTCACCAAAGACAGTGGGTTCTTGTAAAAGAAGAAAATTACAGACTGATTAACGACCAATCTTGCCTGAATTCGAAATTTTATTGCTCATTGAAAAACAGGTTTGCACAAGTCAATCTCATTGATTGTAATTTTTAATGATGTCGCTAAAGATAAATGGCGCTGTTTCTTCGTTTTCATCACTTTAGTGCTCAAAGGTAACACTTAATTGTGATTTATGGCTAATCTGCTTGAAGAATAACATATTCTTGCCTCGCAATCCATCGAAGTCGGATATTTCAAAGTCATATCGTTCGATGCAGCAATATTTTCACGAAATAATATTGCCTAAAAAATGACACTTTGATGGTGCATAGTAACGGAAGTAGACTTTTTCCTAGAGAGCACCTTACGAATGAGGGAATAGATAATACTTTCCTCTAATCTTTAACCGCCGTGTTGCGGCGTATTCGCAATATCAGTTTTTTCTACATTCGTTGGAGACCTCTCGAACAGGCCGCGGTTCCATAGTATGATGTGCGTGGATGCTATGACTCACATTCATATTTGATCAAACCAATACACGATAAAGCAATCCATTTCGATCAACAACTGAACTACCTCAATCCAGTGGCATTTACATACAGCACTAATGCTGGCAATCGCGCAGGGTATCAGAGTCATTCGTGGTGCAAATCAGACTTGAATGAGTACCATCAAAGGTTCGCTCCGATCCAAAGACGATGCAAGCTGTCGACAATGAAGCGATAATGAAAACAATTCTTCACAATAAAATGGCACGAGAAATATGAAAAAACATTCTGAACCATTGGATGTCAGGTTTTCATAACTTTATATGACTGTCACCATTTGTAGAACCACGTTTTCCTCATTATGCGAAGTATATCTATATTAAAATGTGGTTAGGCTCGAATGCCTTGCTTAGAATCTACCATCAACAGCTACAAGTGCATGTGCTTATCTTGTTTCCACATTTAGTGACATTCCTTCACGAAAGAAGAGAAGTGAGATATTCCAGTGTAGACTTAAACATCAGAGCGTCCGATGGTCAGTTCGGTCGATCCTATGGTTTACCACAACACCGGAAGGAATGCTGAAAGAATAACTCTGTTCTGTCCCGGGTAAGGTGACCTGAATAGTTGTGGAGATTAAGCAAAGCCGCTAGACCTTGTTGAGCATAAACCGTATATTCCAACCTATGAGCTTCTGGTTCGGGATCTGAAACGCGGCAGACGTCGGCCGGGAGGCCAGTATGAAACCTACAGAAACAAAATAGAGGCAGATCTGCAAGTTGTTTCTTCTAACAAAGGTTTAGAAAAGCTGGAAACCAGGGAAGTATCATAGGACTTAAAATGATGATCTCAATAAACACGTATGCAAGCACAAGGAAAGAGATAACTGAAATGATGAAATACGGTGGAATACATGCCGGGAGCTGTGGCGGTAGCCGTGTAAAGGTGAATGTTGAAATGAGCGGCTAGGCAGACTTCAATAACCGGAGTGAAAAATCGCCTTTTGATGCTTTGAACGCGGTTTAGCATAGGAGAAAGGCACTTTGACAAAATGTGGAACAGGAACACTGGGGATATCTGTCAAACTAATCTCGAAGTAAGCGTGGAACAATGTTTTTCATAAATCCGTCCATTCTTTAACCGAAGAATGACGACTAGCGTGCAGGAGAAAGGAGCTCTCCCGACAATGCTGGAAGATCTCTGCCAAAAACGTGAAGAAAGAATATGATTAC